AGGGGATCATCATCGTTTTGCATTACAATAGAATATGTCAATCAAAAAGTTACTCTCCTGAAAGAAAAATGTCCATCGTGAGTCCACAGACACCCCTGCCTTTTATAAGAACATTCAGTTTCAAGAAATGTATGTTTGCTTGGTATTGTGCCAAAAGATTTCCTTTGTTAACTCTTGGAACCTGACATACATACTTCCTTATCTCGTCATCCTAACTGAATTGTTCTTACAGTATTTGTTGCAGTGAGTTGTCATGCATATCAAATAAAAACACACACCTCGACCTTTCCAACAATGGAAAGGTCCCGGTATTCCAGTTTTGGAATTACAGCAGATCTCGGGGCTGACATTACATTCCACTCTGTATGCATTGATGCAAACTATTTGGTCAGAAGATGAGTATAGGTCATCCATGCACAAGTGGATATTTCTTAGTCTGTGAAATGTTTGAGCCATAGAGTATGTTTATGGGAAGATCTCTGCTGCCAGCATTGTATAGTTAAATATACATATATATCTTTGTAAAATATAAATATTTTAAGATCTAGATAGCTTAGGCTGCTTAAAAAAAAAAAAGATAACCAAGATATACGACCAGCTCTAATAATGACCAAGGTAAGAGCTTGAAAGTAAAGGTAGTGGAATTACCCTGAACAGCCTAGGGCTCAGGGGGTTAATTGATAAAATTAAAATTACTGATGACTGAACTCTAAATTAAAATTAAATTAAAACACCCCTCTTTGCTTAAAGCTGTCTAATCGCTATTTTTAAATAAACCCACTGTGCAGTATCTGCCCAGCAGATATGCTGAGCGCATTTAGCGGCTTCTCTGAGGAGTAGGCAGAGACTGAAAAAAATGGGAAAAAAAACGAGGGTGAACGTTGCGTGAACTGTCAGGACACCTGAAACCTGACTTCAGATAAAATGCTAAAATTGCTCCGTAGCTTCTGAATGTGTAACTACACAGTTGTTTGGTGCTTACGTGTTTGTTTAACAACTGTATGAAATGAAAATATGTCAGTGTTGTGTTTACAGCAAAAAAAATGTGTTTCTGAGGAAAGTAATTCACTTGTGTAACCAACAGTAATAGAAAAGAAGACCCACATTGTGGATTGGTGCAGTTTTCTTTCTTGGCTTCCTGTTGGCATGACCAGTGGTTTTGGTTAGTCAAGTTAGGTTGGGTTACCTCTATGTGTGCTGTTTTTTTACATCTGCTCCAAGAGGTCTTGAGCTCTCCTCAAATGGATTTTTGCACTGTGAAAAGATGCTTTTGGTGAACATTCATGAGCAACACTAATACAAGAAGCCAAAGATTTGAAAATAGTTCTGCCGAAGGAACATCGGCATCCTCAAAGGACATCGGAATGAAAGTGCTCCACTGCTTTTTAGATGGGGGAGAAAGTAAAAGCATACAGTGTTTGGTACAAGAGCGCTTGCTGATAGAGAGGCTTTCAGAAGAACACAATGCGTGTATACGTGTGCGCGGGGTTCCATGCACGTGTTTGTGTTCGAATGCAGAGATGAAAGTTATACATAATGCATCATGCTACAAAGGGCAGCACTCACTCGGATATCATGAGTCAAAGTGAAATTACCTGCACTCACACACTGCCCCCCGCTCTTATCAGAGAACGGTAATGATTTCAAGGTGAAGCTGGTCAGTGGTGTACATGATAATATATTTAGGCAGACCACTGTTGTGAACCATCTGTAGGTCCCACTCAGATCCCCGCAATTCAGGTAAGCAGCTGGAGAGCTACAGATGGCTGCGGTACCGGAGGAAAAGTGCGGGGTCACGGGGATGAAGAAAGACTTGCTTCTTCTATTATCTGTTGATCCTTGTGAAGTAAAAAGCTGATTGTTGCTGCACCTTTGGAACTCCCATGGGTGCGCTGCATCTAATCTTTATTATAGATGAAACGGCACAGACCTGGATATTCCTTCTTTTAAAATTCAGCACTCTGGCGAAGAAAGCTTTTGAAAGTATTGGCTTTAATGAATACATTCTAAACCACACTGAGTTATTGCTGTGAACCTTGATGTCATGTTGCTTTGTATAAGTCTGATTGCGCTGTTCATAGGGTTCAAGCCAGTGTGAAGAGCTGTGTATGAAACAGTGTGATAGGAGCAGCTCAGCAGGGTTAGCGTTAATGCTCCAGATGGCTCTCTAACATAGCCAGACAGCGCATTTCGTCTTCACTTTGGCTTTGTGGACTTTCTCTCTTGCCTTGTTCTGTTGAAACTGGAAAAGTCTCATTAGGAGTGTATTTACATATTTTTTTTTCTTCTTTTTATTGCTTCACTGTGCACGGCTAAGCTAATGAATAAATGTGATCTGAAGGGAAGCTTTTTTTTTTTTTTCTTCCCTTTCTTCCTGTTTTTTTTTTTCACACAAAAACAATCGGAGTACTGAGGAGAGACCCAGACACTACACCCTTATCATTGGCACTTGCCACTTTTGACGTCATCAGCATTTCCCATGCCTGCCAATACTCATTCATGCACATAAAGGAGAATGACTCAGCTTAAAAATTTGTATATTATTCCTGCCGTCCCCCCGCCAGTCAGATCAATAGCAGTATCAGTTCTCTCAGAAACTGGAGAGCTAATGCTTAAAGGTGATGTCACCAGCATAAAGCACAGAGCTGCTCAGCAGACAAAGAAAGAAATTGGATTTTATGAGCAGTAAGTGAGTTTCTTTCCTCAGATTTTTGACTATAATGTGTTTTATATTCCTGATCACAGCACTCCGTCAGTAATGACTGAGCGGTCTTTGGTCACTGCTGCAAAATGTCAGTGGAGGAACACCGCATAGTTGAGTTTCGCTTACCTCTACGGAAACTAAAGGTGCTCCCAGAAAACACTTACATTAAAAGTGTTCAGATTAGTTCATTAGATGGCTGCAACACATTTACCTTCTTGCTCATTTTACCTTTGAATGTTCATAATTGATATACTCTCGGACTTGCTTTAAATCTAAGCTAAAGTATGTACAGTTGTCCTCAAATTTATTCATACCCTCACATTAAAGAAATAACTTGAAATTGACCAAAGTAATAATAAATAAAAAATTTAATGAAAATTATGACATTGCTTTTGAATTGTGGTTCAACAAAAAAAATACATAAATACAAATAATAACAAAAAAAGGAAATATATATATATAAAATAAAATGAAAAAAGAAGCATGATGGGACCTGTGAACTAATATTTAGTTGAACAGCCCTTTGAGTCAATCACTGCAATCAAGTGTTTTCTGTAACTCTCAACCAGACTTCTGCACCTGTTGACAGGTATTTTGATTTTGGCCCACTGCTCATCAGCAAAGTGCTCTAATTTGTCTGGGACAGTTTTGTTTTTTTTGTTTTTTTAAATTATTCTTTTCAACCACAATTCAAAAGCAATTGTCGTATTTCATTAATTATAATTTTGCAAATTTTTATTTATTATTACTTTTTTCAGTTTCTAGTTATTTGAGGGACTTTTGTGAATTTTGCCTTTTCTTTAATGGGAGGGTATGAATACATTTGAGGACGACTGTATGCTATGCACTGCCTTTCAACCTTAAACACTCAACCGCCCTACCCTCATTCATGTATTTCTTTAGTTGTCATTTAACTTGTTTTTATCCCTATTCTTTACTAAACACCTTCATATTTTTTTGTGCATTTTCTTCTTTGTTTTTAATGCATTGTGTGAAGCACCATAAATTGCCCTTCCATATAAAGTGCACTTTGAGAACGTGCTTGAAAGTTATGCAGCAGAGTGATCATTTTGCACTCCGTTGCATAGTGCATGTATGTAATGAATTTCATGTGAAACTCTTTTGAGAATTGCACTTCATATAATAATGTGGAGAACCTGTGAGGGTCCTTCATGAGATTGCACCCTTTTTACCTCATCAGAGCACCGGGGCGACACGCGTAACCCATAACCTATGGTTCACTGTCTTCACAATTTGTCGGCGTCTTCAGCGGGGCCTGTGCCTTTACCTTCTGCCGTTTCAGTATGTGTTACTGGATATATTTGATGCTAAGCTCCATTAAGTCTTACACCATTCCAGCTTTATTCATTGGTTAAGCCATATTCACATTGACAGTGACACAGCTTTCCTCTTTCCAGGCGACTGGTTGTCTTTTTTAGTTTACAATAACAAAACTTGCTCGAGGCATTGCTCTGTGTAGTAGCAGCAGCCTGTGGTTTTTTGTGCACTTAAGTGTATACTGACCCCTTTTAAACATAAATGTATAACAAGCGCTACACTTGTGCAATTATAAAGACCACGTATCAACGGACGTGTCCCCTTTCGTTGCACCCCTGTTGTTATTTTGGAAGGTAGTCCAGACGACAGAGAAGTTATCTGTGTCACACATAAACATGTCACCTGAAAGGCACTAGTGGAAGTAGCCTGCCTCTCCACTTCATCCCACATGAGTGAAATAATAATTTGAGCCCTTGTAGGTGAAGATAAGTGCGACTGGTATCAAAATACTAGAAAATTCCTTGTGAAGAATGTTGTTGGGTCGAACAAAAAATAAGAAAGTGCCGGCTTTGTTTTCATTGATCCTACTCTCGTCTTTAATATTACATGTATTTTTTTCAACTTGTAAACGCAAGTAACAGCCAGATTTCGAGGTATAGTCAATGGGATTACTTCAGCACACATTTTGTGAAATGTAATGCCTATCCCCTCACAGTGTGCTAGCTGTCCATTCTTTGTGTGCTGAAAAAATATCTGGCGTTCATACACAGCCCTGGCTCTGTAAATAGGAAACAAACAGTGACTCGCACTGATCCACACAGCACTATTTCAGAGTGTCCTGTGCATGTTTGAGGTCATGCAGGCTTGTGCTTGTGCAGAGGACAGGGGCAAAGATAGGGGGGATGGGAGAGAAGGATGGGAAGTCTTGCACATGCTAACTATCCAAATGAAGTAGCTCAATGCTAACAATCTTCCTTCCACCTTTATTTAAGAAGACATTTTTCTCTTTTCCTTTCAGACCAGTGCACTGTGACCAGATCCTATCTGTTCCTCCACAAGTTCTGGTTCTTCAGCACCATCTACTACTTTGGTAACTGGGCCTTTATTGGGGTAAGTTCAAGGATCTCGATTTCAAGTAGAGTGAGAATTGGAATGTTGATTGCAGAATTTGGAGGAAGATAACTGAAACGGGTTAAATTTAGCTCTCTCTTTTTTTTTTTGGCAAAGATTATAGATAACCGGTGCCTTTAGTTATTCTGTGTCTCTTCAACCATGAAACATTTACAGCAACAACATCTATAAAACATTTGATTGAGTTCAAAAGCATTTTAAGAGAATCTTCTTCAGTGGGAGAGCTTTCTACTCTGAAGAGGCTACTGAGAGCTGCACATGCCGCACATCTCCCTCAGCAAAATATTTAATAGCCTTCCTCTCCGGTTGCTCTTCCTGCATTCTATCGATCAAATGGTCCTCATGAAATATTTCCTAATGAGGGTTTTTTACTTATTATTTTCAGGCCTTCCTCATTGGCCTGGTGGTGTCCTGCTGCCGAGGGAAGAAGTCTGTGATTGAAGGTGAGGTGGAGGCCGATGACTCAGACCTGAGCGATGACGAATACGTGCACTGAAAAATCACTTTGGATGAGTTTGTAGATACTGTAACCATAACTTGAAGGGACTAGAAAGTACAACGTCGTCAACAAATGAACACCTGTCAGTGATTTGTCTTAATTTAATGTATTTGTTTTGAGGAGTTACTGTCGTGGACTCCAGCCTCTTTTTTTTTCTTTTTTTTTTGGAGACCTCCCTCTAATGAAAGCCCACAGACTGATTGTTGTGTCTTTCTCAGTCAATACTGCTGATAACTTTGGGATTGTGGGAGTGTCCTTCAACTCAATTCTACATGGAGAATTCACTTCTCAACACTTTAAAACTGACAGAAATTGGTCATTTTTCAGGAGGCACACTTATTGCGGCAGACAGAGTCATATCCTGTTCCAGAACTTTACATCCTCTACGGACTTTCTAGACCCTTTAACTTCATGGCAACACCTAGACTTGGCTTTAGTATACCTTTTTAAGATACGGTACCAATTAAGCATACACAAAATGTTCCTGACAAGCTAATTGGTATGAAAATAATGATTCCTAAATGCTGACAGCAGTGACACTTTAAACGTCTGTTTTTGCTTGTTTTTGTCTGAGGTTAAATATAGTGCTAGTGGTTTTGCTGCATCTTTCCCTACATTTTTGCTATTTGCGGTCGTAACTGTTACTGAACTTACATACCTGCACTGTTGGTGAAATGTAAAAGGACCAGTTGTGTTTGCAAGTCTTCAGTTGTTCATGGTTTTTAATAATGTGTTCAACAGCTTTTCTCCTTCTGTGTTGGAAGAAAAAAACGAGAAAAGACAGAAATAATCCAACATATGGATGTGATTTTCGTTTTAATTTAAGATTACTTCTCATTTTTTTGTCTGTGCTCTAGGGTTTATCTACAGCAGGCTTGTGACATAGAACTGCTAATGGCACACTTTCATTTTATTTCAGCGTATTTTGCTGTTTGTGTCAAATGAATACAAACTGACCATTTAATTTGGAAACCAAATGTTTGTGCCTCATGAATGTACAATACCATGACGGGCACACGCCCCTGTATATGCTAGCCTAAATTACCCTGACAGAAATCAGTTTGACTCTCTGGAGTTTTGTTTTTGCTTTGAAATGTCGGTCTGGTTACCTTAATTGAGAATCAGTGAAGGAAGCAGCTGCAAATGCAGTGAGGTGACGATGATGATGACGGAAGCGTCGTCACGTGCAGTTTGTTTGACAAATTTGCTGTTGTGAAAGTTGTGTCAGTATTGAATGATACCTGTATTTAAAGAAATAAAATCATTTTAAACACAAAGACACAATATTTTCAACCTTTCTTTTTAGTTTACTTGCAAAATTTGCATTCTGCAACCTCTTGTTTCTACAGTGCGATGCCCTCTACAATACTTTTGTACATCCAGTAGTTTCGGTTTTGTCTTTTAGGAATTTGGATCAAACCTGGCAACATGTAATGGTGCATCAATTGTTCGTCATTTCAGGTGTTCAAAGCTTGAGGATGGGTCAAATTTACAATTCTAATTTCTGTTCAAAGCCTTGCGTTTGAGTCAGACGACTTTTCTTTTTTTGTCAAAACCACTACAAGTCCAATGTAACAGTTGCCACACATCATACAGGTGGCTTTGAAGATGTTTTTTAGCCCTTTCTTTCTTACTTTCTCTTCAACAACTAAAAAAAAATAAACTTCCAAAAAAAAGACATAAGGTTCATAACATACATCTTTCATGAGCAGTTCCAAACACATGAACACAACATAAATGCAATAAAATTATGAGAAATGCAACATGTTGTCCAAAGAAAGGCACATCAGCAAACATTTGAACAAGAAATGAAAGACACCTATTATGTGTGACTTTTTTCAGAATCAGGGTGTTTCAGGCTGTATGTCTTTCACCTCCATTCATGTAACTAACCTTTGACCACTATATGAACATGTTTGATCAACGTAACTCTTTTAACATCTTATTTACTGCATTTTAAATAGTCTGTAATGACCGTATAGTATCAGATAACAATACATTTATGAAATAAACATGAACAGCCAAATGAATCATGTCTTAGGCAGCACAGTATGGCCCCTGAGAAATACTTTCCCTTGCTGTTGTCTTTAAAATTAACTGATTGTAACATCTATGACTTATTTTTTGTGAAGTATCTGTTTCTAGCAATGGAAGATATAATTTGTATTGCATTTAATTCTGACACAGTATGATATTTTTCTGTAATTATGCACTATAATTAGAGCTTTGACAAAATTACAACAACATGGTCAGATTTTACTAAATCCGTTGGGAGGCTGTGAAGTACGTGATCACAGTCGGTAGTTTTAAGAATACGACGGTGTATTCTGCTGTCCAATGCTGAGTTTTTCCACACTTAAATGTAAAAAAAACTGTGAAACATGTTAGAGCCTAATAAAGACACGTATCAAATATATTTAATACATTCATCCTCGGATTAGCTTATAACTGCTCAGTGCCTTCTTTGGATGGATTTGCATGAAATTTTGTGTGCATGTCCAATTAGAGCTTGAGGTATGCATACCTTGTCATAACTATTGTGCCAGCCTGCTTTGAGGTAAGTCATTTTGTGCTATGCCACCCCCACATTCACTAATAAACCAAATAAGCCTTGAGCCAAAAACATGAGCCTCAGGTCTCTTGCAGAGAGGATTGTGTGATCAACATGTCAGATCAGAGGATTTTTTTCGCAGCTCCGAGTGCAACTTTCCTTGTTATCCTTCATATTCAAAAAGCCAGGCTCGTTTCATCTCTTATTTCCTCCCTGCGCTGCTTTTTAGGCTCTTCTTGCAAGTTTGTTTGGGAACAGTGAACACATTTTAATGAATAAATGAATGAATCCGTTCAGGAAAATAAAACCATTTTTTTGCAGAGAGCTGCACTATTAGATCTGCCTGAGGGCCATACATAACAAATGCTTTTGTTTTCTTTTTTTGCAGTTTATCTCATAAATGCATACATTAGAATGCAATATTTTATGCAAATCCAGTTGGCTGCACAATAACAATGACGATAATAATAATAATTACTATTATGATTATTATTATTATTACGCTTTGTGTGTGTCAGTGCCGTCTAGGCCAAGTGATGTGTTAAATGTTCAAGGACATCCCATTATTTAAACAGGGAAGCTTTTTAACTTGCAAATCCCACGGCTTCAAAACTCATGTTTTTAGATCTAATCATTCTAATAATTTCAAACCTCCAAGTTGTCAAGAAAGCAGTGACATTTTAGACTTGCATTGATTAGAATCCTTAAAGAACCGCATGGCCTCGTCACTTCCCAGTTTGCATGACTGTCGAATATCACAAGACAGGAAACAACAACAACAAAATACTAACCAAAACAAAGCGGCCACCGTTTGGGTACCTGACAGGAGAGCCATGAGAGGTCGGCCTTCTTTTTTTTTTTGTGGTTGTTTTTTTCTGAGGGAGGTTTGGAATAAGGCAAATATGATTGTGTGGACCGCTGTAGATACCAAGAGGAATTACAGAACACTATAGCCATTGTCAGGGGCCTCTGTACCGATCATCTATCTTGCTGCTCCACAGGATAAGAGACCTTAATGCATTATACAGCGCATGGCAAGTAACTTGCTGTGGAGTCTTCCAAAGTTTCTTTTTTACCAAGGCTTTGCAAACTTTTTGTTCTTTTCTTGTGCAAATATCCTGGAAAGTTTAGTTATAGCGGAAAACTTCTGAGCTATAGGGACAAAACCCGAGTAAATCTGATATCATTGTGCATTACCATCTCGACACATTCATTGGCACATAATACAGTAAAAACACTTGAAATTAAACCTTCAATCACACTGATTAAAATCCTAGCAACAGCCCAGTTCAGGAATCACTAGAACAGTGCATAAACACCCCAAACCCATTCACAATCAACTAAAAGAAAAACAAAAATGGGGTGAATGTGCAGCTACCCCCTATGTGAAAGGAACAAAAGGGGGCCGATGCCTTTCAGCTCTCACACTCAGGATTGAACTCAAATCATAAGTGTTGCTAAACATCACGACATTTCCCCCCCTCTCTTTCACAGTGTCCTTCCCCAACTTTTGTCGATATGGTTTCTGTGATTTTTGAGTGGCCCCGAGTCTCCCCTCTGAGCTTTAACTCCTCTGACAGGCCCTTGATAGACGAGCAGTTTGCCTTACCCCTCAGCTGCACCCCCAGGGAGGAGAGTGACGCAGGATCAATGTAATTATGGTGATTCAGTGTTTGCAGCCCCACAGCAGGTTAACCTCTCTGCTCTTATGGGCCTGTGGGACCTGCCACTCACTACCGAATGAAGACTTGTCCAGCAGGCTTGTCAACACGTCCCGGCTCCAATTACAAACAACTAAATAACGCCGCTTTCCATTTTCAGACACAACGGGGTGTCTGCGGCAATAAATCTGTGTACAAAATCAAAAATATTCTGCAGGATTTCTGTCAAGTGACAGTTCAAGTGGGAAATATTCAATTATTAAACGTCGTCATCATAATCTTAGGAGCGTTTCTTTCGTTAACTGAGCCACAGAGAGACTAAGTGAGACTTCACGGAGGGTAAAGTGATTCCATATTAAATGATGTTTGAATTTGTTTTTAGTTTGTTTTTTTTTGCATTTTAATGCTTTAAGTATTTAAAAGCTTTCAGGAAGTGTGGCACAGACAGAATGTGATAGCACTAATTTTGTCTGGGGACTTGAGCGGATAAAGTGCTTTTCCTATTAAAATAAAGAGGTTCTTAAAATAAAGGTCAGAGTGTGTTTCCCCTCACTACAGTGAACAATATTGTTAAAGGAATCTAAAACACTCCTAATGGAGGAAACAATGAACTCATCTGCATTAAGGCGGCAGTGTTTTGTTCACCCACATACTTTTAAACCTCCTCTTGAGCTGGTGAAGAACTTTGATCCCACACACCTTTAAAGCTCCACATCTGAATACCATTAAGACAAATAAGCACGTAAATGATCTCCGGAGACATTGAAACTTCCTATTTCTTTCTCTGAATATTATTCAGCCTGTTGCAACGCAACACAGGCTGTGATGCACTGATTGAGTAACTGCTTACGACTTTCAGGGATTCATAAACAACAACAAAACATTTGCAAAAGAAATAAAATAAATGCATTTACTAGTTGTGTTCTTTCCTAAGATGACCTTGCAAGCCTGGTTGCTTTGCTTTAGATCTTCATGTGTACAGTACAGTCTGTTCTCAAACATTACTGTGTCTTTTAAACACAATAAAATTCTTTGTCTTTTATTTTAGACAATGCCAGTAGTTTTAATACAGCGTGCCTTTTTGCTGACTAATAAATGCACTCTGCCTGCTAGAATGTGTCATGAGACACTCTCCAGATAAACTAGGCACTTCTATGCAAACAGGATTTTGCATATGAAAAAAAAAAAGACAGCTTTCAGCATGAAACATATAACCGGAGCCTGTGGGGAGATGACAGTGTTTTTCAAGGCACTTCACTCTATTGGACGTTGGCACATTAATGAAAAAAAAAACCCTCTCACAGAGCCTGTAACAAGCAGCAGTAGCCTGCTGTATGTAATTAACCTAATTATGTCTGGTAGACTAAATTGAAATTCACTGTTAAAAAAAAAAAAATCAGACATTAACGTCTAGACTGAGACCCTGCATTCAATCATCTTGATTTATGTTGTGATGACGTCATTGCACAGCTGAGTCCTCATTCATGCGAGCCTCTGTTTCTTGTCTGGCTCGATCTTTTTCCCCCGCTCGTCCTTGGTCTTCACTGATGTAGAAGATCTAAGTCACACCTCCTCCTCTTCGTCCTCCTCTTCCGGCTCTTTCCCCTTTTCTTGCTCGGGGACCCTTGGCTTCCCAGAAGGGGGTTTGTGCGGGGGAGGCACATGCTGGTGCTCTCATTGCCGGATGTCAGCCGCCGTACCACACAGACCACCAGCAGACAGACCAAACAAGATCTTTTTTCCCCGAGCCCTGCCAGCCTCCTCCCATTAGTGCTCTGTATGTCTGTCTTAGAAAACTGATCTTGTCAGGTGGACCTTCTGGAGGCAGAGAGACTTATTAAGAGTTTCAGTGTTTCCTATCCATACTCAGAAATTAAATGTGAGGGTGGATTTATGAGGTGAGGCAGGAAACTTTACAGAACAAACCTTCAGCTACAGTTAAAGGGAAGAGTTTAAATCACTAACTTGGGCTAAAAATCACCAGAGCGGACAGTATGTGAAGATCTTTTCTGACACTCCGGTTTGTTCTAAATGAAAGTGGAGGAAGCTTTATACAGTAATCAAT